CTTTAAAAGAATACTTAACTTGAAGTGTGTCTATAGTGTATGAAATTGAAACCATGGTCTGTTGTGTTCCTATAGTATGTGGCGGAAAAGCTATCAAGAAAAATTCTAGAACAGGCAAGAAAGCAACAAGATGAACTGGAAGCAGAGTTTGGCATGGCATCTGCCTCAAAGAAAACATTAAAGACAGCGCAAACCTGTCTTGGTCCACCTGAGTTACAAAATTTAGATGCGGAAGAGTTGGAATCAGATGAAGATAATGTAGCATCAGTAGCTAGTGAACAGTTCTATGAAAACATTGTGAGTTGTGATTCTATGATCATGATGATTCATCATGTGCCTTGAGTGGTACTCACTTCTGATATGGATCTTGGTTTTTTTCAATCTTCTCTAGTTGATCAATTTAAATGGGACATCACCCCCTAAAGTATAATACTCTACTGTGATCCTTATAAGATAGTTAGGATTTGCTAGCTACTTTGTGCTTTACAGGAAGTTGATGAAGAAGATGAGCAGGCCTTTGAAGCATTTATGTCAGAAGATACACCGGCTAGGAGAACCCTGGCTGATGTGATCATGGAGAAAATTAGAGACAAGAAGACAGAAATAGAAAGTCAAATGTCAGGTTTGTCATGAAAATCTTTAATGGTGTTTACGAGGAAAGACGTTTTACTCCCAAAATGTAGACAGGACTAGATGTCGATTCTTCACACTGGCTGCCATACATTTGTTTTAATTTTAGATCATGAAATATAAAGCGAAATCAAATTATATCTACTTGTTGATAATTTTCTTTCATGTACTCCTCATCACCTTTCCTCCTGAAAATATATGAATACATTGTGGAGAAATTCATTTTTATCACTTCAGGGAATAACAGGCCCAGTTCACTTAATGATGAGTCTAACTTGCTTGAAAATTTATTTTTGTTTTTCATTTATCGTTCTCACAGAAAGATCCACAAGTCCACAGATGGATGAACGGCTTGTTGAAGTTTTCAAAGGGTATGTAACTGTAAGTGTAAATGATAAAGGGCCCATTGCTACCACCTCTTTTCTTGTAGCCACATGTAACTAGTCTGAACAGTTGTTCATTTTTTGTTCTTGCAATCTGAGGTCATTATGTTGTTAGTGTGAAATGATATTTTGATCTACCAAAGCTAGCTATTTGAAAAATCTTAGTATATGAATTTGTAGAAGATTATTTATGAAGCTGAAGTTTTACAAACACCAAAGTAGTAGGAAAAGGGGGTTTCTGGCACATTTTTCAAAATTGCCTGAAAAAAACAGGGCAGTTTTGAAAAAATTCAATTGTCTTAAAAACAAGGCAATTTAATGTGCCAAAACAACCATGTTTTCAANGGAGCAAGAGGATAATCGTTGTGAAGATCATGAAGCTCTTTTGGATATTCAAGATCAACCTCAAGAATGCAGGGAATATTTCTCTCGCCCGCTCTCCAGTCTCCAATCTCTGCTTGACTCATCCATTTGAAATCTCTGACAGGAAGAGGTTTGCACATTGCCTATCCATAAAGATTGTTTGCATCAAGATAGCCAGATATTTTGATGGTTTTTTCTCTGTCAAACTGTTTCCCCATGTATTTGTTATTTGCTTTTCCATGGTGATTTGGGATCATGGAGATTCCTCCACGAATTCCTTTCTTAAACATCAGAAGCATTTCTAGATCACTCAACAGCTCAAGTTCAACTTTTGTCACCTTCAATGCTGCATCCCCAGCCAATCCAGGAGCAGTGTAACACCAAGCAGGATTGAGATTGTAATTCTCAAGGCAGACGTTTCTGAACTCTTCAAACACATCTGCAAGCAAGTGAACATCTGATTTGAGATAAAGATCATGATAATCACCCATGTTCTTCATCTTTAACTCATTCCAGATTTTCTTTGCGTGCTCATAATCTTCATCAGTTATATCACAGTCAGTAAGCTTTGAGTAAAACTCTCTTTTTGGTGGAAGTTCTGTTTCTCCAAACTTTTCAATACTGCTCATGTACTCATATGATACACTCCCTTTCTTGAGATCAACTCGATTTCAGCGTCTCTAAACACCTCCCCAGTTTTCTTCAGCTTATCATGGCTCAAATTACTGACCAGTTTATCGAGAGAAGCCATGAACTTTAAACTATCAATAAAAGGAAGCTCAGTCTTGATGTCAACTTCTTTGTTGGTGTAAGAGCCAACAGCAACAGATTTGACTTGACTTGAGAGAAGCCTGCTCATGTTATTTATAAAGCAGTAGTGCTTATTAGCAACTGCATCTCCATCTTTCTCGATAAGAAGAAGATTGATCACTTGATTCCTTTCTTCAGCTGGTGATTTGCTTATTCTGAGAGGATAGACTCTGGCCTCACTTTCACAACCAAACACGTTTACCGTGATATTTTCGTTCTGTTTTTCAAACTTTTTTATTTTGTCAAGCTCAACCAGGAAGTTGATTCCTCTGCAGTCGAGTGGATCAGATTGTTCTTTAGGAATCTTTTTTATTCTTTGAGGGTTTTTCTCAACTGGATAAAGCGCTCTTGTAATGCACCATTTAACATTCATTATCTTGATTTTCCCTATTGATTATTGCTTTTTTTCCTTTAAGCTCTTTTGGAAGTTTGATGTAAGAGCTAGCGTTCAAAGGGTTGTACTCTACAAGATGCAGGTCAAGTGAAATGACTCTGTGAAACTCCCAGTTACTTCTGTTATTCTTGAATTCTTCAATTCTTTCTTGAATAGTTTGCATAAATCTTTCATACGCTTCGCTTTCATTACATTGTGTTGGTTTGGAAATAAGTGTCAAGATACTGAACTTCTCCATCCATAGCTCTCCTCTTCATCTTGCAAGAAAGAATCATCTTGAGTCTTGTCTGGGGGTTTTCTCTCATGATTTTCAAGACTGCTGGTTTTGCCTCCTGCATGAATTGATTTGGCCCAAAACCCTCAACTGCATTTTTTCTGAACTGCCTTGTGAAACCTCTCAATGCAGATGCTGACTCGTGGGCACACCAGCACCCACTGTCTAGAACTGTAAATGGATTATTTTCGTAGTTTTCAACAAACTCATTCTATTCATCTAAAAAATCTGATGTTGATGAGTGTAAGCGACTGCATCTCGATCCAAGTATCTCTTCAATTTCTCTTATTTCTCTTCTCCTTTGTTATTGCGGATCAAGTGTCAGCGACTGCGCCAGCATCTGTGTTCTCTGCTGCCCAGAATTTCTTGTTGGTCTGAGAATTGGAGCATTGAAATCTGCTGGAATTGGGTGGTCAATAATGTTTGATATCAACTCAATTAACTCCTGCTTTCTGAGGCTTGAATATTTTTTTAGCCCGAGTCGTTTTGCCTTGGCTTTTAATTCTTTAACATTCCAGTTCTCCATTTTTATAAAAATATAAATTTTTTATATTTTTATAAAATTTTATCTCAGTTTTATTCAGCCGCTTTGCTGGAGAAAATTATTTTTGAAAATTTGCTGGAATAAGATCAGTGTAGTGATTATAAAAATCTGCTTTTCTTTTCAAAGTAAATTGTGAAATTTGTCTGACTTCCCCTCGCCCGCCTTCGCACTGATCTTTTATTTCTTCATAGATCTGTCAAAAGCAGAAAGAGGTTTTCATCAATATCTTTTGGAAAGCGATAAGTTTTCTTCAGTCTTATTCTATCTTCTTCTATTCTATTTTGCCAAAATTTATTTTTTATCTTGTGAATGAGATCAAAATCTGTGTACATCATAGTGAATTGATGGCCTGTTATCTTTTCACGCTCGTCTCTCAACCATTTTTGATATTCCTTTCTTGGTTCAAGATATTCAGCTTCAAGGCGCCTTTGAAAGAGAAAAGTTTTGCTTTTTCTGAGTCTTCTGTCAACTTCTCTCTTTTCTTCGTTGCTAAGAAGATCATAATCATCAAGAATCCATTTGAATGGTTTTAATAATCTCACTATTTGTGTTTTTGTTTTTCTTGCTGGATCTCGAAATTTACAGAAAAAGCGGAATTCTTTGTTTGCTTCATCCATTTATAATTCTTCTCGCTTCGCTTCTCAACTTCCTGACATTTTTGTATAATATAAAAAATATTTTTTAAAAAATATAAAAAATGGAAGAAAAGAAAAATTTGATTCCAATAAGCACAGAAGATTTCAGAGAAATTGCCAAAGGCTGTGGAATAAAATACAGAAACAAGATTCCAAGCAAAGAATTGAAAGAAATGCTCAGAAGGTTGAAGCGAGTGATGAAACAGGTTTTTGCAAAGAATATCAATCACTTGGAGAAGCAGCAAAAGATTGTGGAATATTGAATTCTTCTGCTATTAAATATGCACTGGATAATCAAAGAAATTTCATCAAAAGAAGATCAGACCAGAAAAAATTATTTGTAAGAGAAATTTGATATGATGTCGATAGAAACTGAAACAGAAGAGTGTTTTTGAATGATGAATCATCACCCAGGTGATCGAGGGGAAGAAGATTCTTTTGGATAAGAGTCATCACAGGAAGTGAACAATTTCAGCGTAAGTGATTGCTTAAGACTTCCTGGGAGATTACATCAGAGTTTCAAACAAATGAAAAAGCACCTGCGTTTTAGTGTGGCATGAGAGATTTAATGACAAATAGGGTTAAAGAACGTTCTTTACCAGCTTGTCATTTATAAATAAAATATTCGTGTGTGTGAAGAACTACGCTCTCAATTTGCATTTGTAGACAAAAATATACATTGAATTCAGCTTCAAACAACATCAAGAAATGAAAACGGCCAGAAACTTTCAAGAACTTCAGCTAATCAAACAGCGCCTTCAAGAAAACAAGACGGCTTTCCCAAGTTTCAAGAAACATTTTGATTGATGTTTTTTGAGCATAAAAAAAAAGAATTTTATTTATCTTTCATCCAAGAAGACGAAAGAGACGACGTAGTCGCTGAAAAGAAGAATGAAATCAAACAAAAACTGGAAAGAAGCTTGATGGATTGGCAAAGTGAACATCTCACCAATGAACAAATCTTTCAAGAACAAGTGTTTGAAAGCGTGGATGCCTTTATCAACTTTCTGGAAAGATTGAAGCGTGATATTGATGTTTCACAAAAGTGGATTATTATTCTATCAGAAAGATTTGGTTCGTGCTTTTAAAAGCAATGCTAAGGATCTTTTAGACGACACTGAATACAACAGGATAGAAGAGGCTTGTGGCTATTCAAAGTGCTATTGCACTTTTTTGATTTGGTTCCACAAACTTTGTCAATCTTACCCAAAGATCAAACGTTTGTCTGAGCCAATACGTACATTTTTGTCGAACAAGAAGATCGTACAAGAGATGTGTGAAGAAAATCATGATTTCTGGAGTGCTACTTAAACACGCTTTTTTCATGTGATTGCTTTATGAAGCTGATGTTTTAGAGTTTTCTGTTGTGTTGAGAGGCTTGAATTCAACTCCCGTACAGACTAAAGCGTTTTTAATTGACGAATATTAATTGATTATTGGGAAATGCGTTTCCTGATATAAGTCAAATAATATATTAGGAAACGTGTTTCTTAGTATAAGTCAAATAATATATTGGGAAACGCGTTTCCTAATAAGAGTCAAGTAATATATTGGGAATTAAACACGTTTCCTCCAAATGTTAATTCATGATTTTTGTCTTGAAATAGGCAAAGAAAACCCACTCGGTCTTTTGTTGAATTCTATTCTCAACTGTTTGTGAGTGTTAGTAGAGAGCCTAATTTTTTTGGATATTCTTTTTTTATCTCCTCTCTGAGAGTTGCAGTCTCTTCCTCAATTTTCTCTGGAGAATTTCGTGAATTATTTTTTCTGAGTTCTTTTTTCAATGAATGATATTGATCAATTTCATTCAATGTCAAAGCGAATTCACCATCTGATATTGAAGAGTCTTTCAAGGCTTTTGACACGAGTCTGCTGATTGTTCGTTGTTTCGCTTCAGCGAGAGAGACAGTTTTTTCGTGTTTCTCAGTCTTTTTCACGAGAGATTTGTTTGCAAAAGCAAGCAAACCCGCAATGCTCGTCAAAGGCACAGAAATTATAATTCCCCCACCGCTCAAAGCACCTGTGAAACCACCTATTGACAAAAGAGCTGCTGTGATGGATGTGACTGATGATGTTATGTGGCACACAGCTTTTACTCTCTCGTATTTTTTTGCAACTTGTTGGTGATGTGAAATCTCATTTTTAATTTCCTTCTGGCTATCACAAATCTTTTTCAACCTGAAATCAGTGCCTGAATTTGGGAGAGAAGGATAAAGCAGTGGTGCACTTGGTAAAATATTTTCAGCAGACATTTTTAATAATTAGATTATTTCAAACTCAAATCTCATTGGCATTCCATTGAAATCAATTACTTTGTCATTTTCATCGGTCACAGAAATCTTCATTGATGTGATGTCATTCTTTTGAGATATTTTTTGATGTGATGGGGTTTCAGAAAAATAGTTCACCCTCTTAAAGAGTTCTCCTGCAATGTCAAAACATGCAAGAACTTTTGACGGCTTTCCATTGAAAAGGTTTTTATTCTCATCCAAAAGATCACAGCGGACAAGAAGTAGTTAAATGATGAAAAACTTTTGACAAAGTTGGTTTTTTGCAAATGCTGTTTAATTCAAGAAGATCAGCCAGATCATTATCAAGAAGAATCTTTTTGTTTTGAGGATTTTTAATTTCCAAACTTGCCCTTGAAGCATTCAGTCGAACATTGACTCCTTCGTTTTTCAATCTATCTTCAAGAGCTTCGCCAGGGCTTTTCAGTGAATAATTTCCTTCAGGAATTGTCTTTACCGATGAATTGTCCTGAGCATCAAATACAGAGATTTCTCCAGAGCGACTCCAGTTGTGCCAGGAGTTGTAAAGAGAACAGCTCACCAGCCTGATATGCTTGCTAAGATTCAAAAGTGATTCTTTGAAGAGAACTGTGAAATCATTTGAAACTTCAATAATTGTCAACAAAACCATTTTGATTTAAAAAAAACAAATTAAAATGATCATTGCGTGGTTAAGATCAGACGAAGCAAAAAGAGTTGCTGAGAAAAAAAAGAACAAAAGCCTGGAATGATTTCCAAGCACAATATCCAAATGCAGACTTGAGCAAGTTTAATGTGCAGGTAACATTCTTCAGCAAAAAGGAGGGAAAAGCAGAAGTTTACTTAAATCAAGCTGATGGTGTTCAAACTAGCGTCTCAGGATCAATCAGAAATGACTGGGATGATGAAATGAAGCGCGCACTTGGAATAGCAGGGTTTCCCATCGAGCTCACTTTGAATCCTTCTGCAATTAAGGAGGTTCCAGCAGTTCCATTTCACGAGAATGCGAAAAGTCGCTTGAATGAAGAGATAAAGATATTTGTCACCCCAAATCAATATTTCGAAGCAAAATTCAGAGAAATATTCACAAGAATGAAAATTCAGCACAGCTCAGGCGCAGAATCAAAGAGATGGCTTGCTGGGCCGAATATGAGCTACTGGCCTCAACAACTCAACTTTGCTGTGTGGTGCGCTACTTCAGGCTGTGGAATCTCTCGTGAACTACTTGACATGGTTCCAGAACAGATCAAATCGTTTCTGCAGTTTCACATTTATTTCACAA